AACCGGGGTCCGTACGTTGCGTTCACTTCACAGCGGGAACGGAAGTGAATTGCCATTGACCTCAATTGCCAGGCATTGCTGACTAGAGGACGAAGAGACAATTTATTATTTTGATCCTCCATAATAATAATTTGCTGCTCAGCCTTTTCTCCATTCTTCTTTGTACTACCAGCTGCTAACCATTAAATGGATGACGTCCGTCTACCCATCACAGGCTCTCTTGTCATTTCGAAGACGTTTTTAAACGAGCGTGTGCGACAGTTTGTTCTTCAACTTCTTTCTCTTATGACCAGATCCAAATCATTTCGCATTTCTTCAAGACGTTTCAGCGTGATCAAAGTCCTTTAAGTAAAGTAACGCAACGCAACTGGAAGGCTGTACAGCTAAATACGTGTCAAATCACAGAATGGGGGAGAAAAGTTTTCCCACTAGCACCACATAAGTTATTTTGACATGTCGACAGTCTTTTGACTTCCTCATCTCTTGAGCGAAATTGCGCGTCGCCATCTCGTCCGAAGTCAAGAGGCACAGACCACGTTGTCGTTAGGACTCAGTGGTATGCATGATTAATCGCCTCATTTCTGAACACTTCGGTCTGATTGTCCTCATTGCTAACACTGAAATGTGGTCTGCAAAAAGGAAACCTGGACAACGTACGCATTTGTCACTTGTAAAAAATCCTCCAGCAGAAGTAAATGGTGTCATTCCAACCATTCTGATACACATGCATCGCGAGTAGATGGTGCAGATGTTGACTCCCAATTCCTGGGTGGATTAGCGACAGGAATGGTGCAATGAGCGAAGCTGAGAACCAAGCATGCTCTAGAACACTAAACATGCATTATGCGCCACAAACATCAAAAGTTAAAGAAGTTGACGCATTCTGGAATAAGTTAGGCTCTACAGGCATCTATAAACCAAGGTAGCCAAATCTGATTTATCGCGTTGTTCATGCTGGATGTAAGGTTAGAGATGTGGGATGAAGAAAAGGAAAGAAGCAAACAGGTGAGTGAAAGATGTGGGAAACTGGTTTGTGTCACGTTCAAGCATACGAGTGGTAAAGGAGCAGTGTTGCAAGCAGCCATACAAAGACCGGTTCGTTTAGTCTTTCTCAAGGCTGGCACTCCATGAGAAGGTATGGAATGGTCTGGATTAGGCACTGGCCCACTGCTATTCAGTACTGGATTAGTCTATTTCACGTATCATCCTTTCGGCCTAAGGAGTGTTTCAGAATGCTGCTGCTCACCTATGCTGTCACTTGTAGGGTGGTATGATTCTGCGGTGGCAAACTAGTCCCACTGGTGTAAAAGAGGGATGGGAGAGAGCATAGGATTGGATGACAACATGTGTCAAGTAGAAAGTCCCATTGATCCAAATCTGCACAGTTCCAATTATGCAGATATGATGATGAAGTGGAAAACGCAGAGACAGATAAATAACCAGCGGCACAGAGCGGCACTGGGAACAGCAGCATTGGCAAACCAAAACAGAAGCACTAGCAACCACGTAGGTGACGCTCAGCAATAACGGTCGCAATTTAAAAGGCGATGAAGAGGTGTGGGAAAGCATCTCAGAAGGAGATGATAAATGCTGCTGGTAATTTGAAGTTCTTTTTAGCCAACTTGTAGACCAATGTAATTTAGAGCTGTGTCCATGAATTTCAACATGCTGCAGGGTTTACCTGGCATACCTTGCGTGTAAAGCATTGGGTCATTTCTACTCAGACAATAAAGCATACCTGCATCAGCAGTCGGCTGTTAATGCATTCATAGATTCAGAGACTGTGAGTGCATACTGGATGCTATGATGCCATGAGTAAGGACAAATGGTGGAAACAGAGGAGCCTCTGTGATTAAATGTTGATGAGCTGCAAATGAGCTAAAATAAAAGTGAAGTCTTGTAGTGCATTCCGGCATTCACATTTCCACATCTCAGTCAACACACTGGTGATCTGATTTACCAATAGCTGCAATGGATTTTGCAACTCAAAAGCGTTAAACATATTTCGCATTGAAACATTTAACATTAATTGAATGTGATATGGGAGGGCCGACTTCGTTGCCAATTGCATGAATGTCATGAAAAGCATCAAAGACTTGTTGAATGTTACGCGGTATGTGAGTAACTGTTACCTTCTGTGGGATGCAGGATCTAGAATGCATAAATGGAATGAGTGAGTGTAATCACACTCACCTTATCGTGTCAACCCATTCAACTGTTCTTAAAATTCCATACGAATGCAGAGAGCATTTGTCAGCAAAGCGCATTCCACCTCTAGCAACCAAAGCTAAAGTACTGCTTTTTGTAGCAGACAAGTCGCCGAAACACCGTGAATTGTCACCTGTATTTGTGCACTGTTCCGTGGCTGTGTCACGCAGACGGAGTGAAACAGCATGAGGATTAAGCCGGTGGGGTGATTTTGGCTGTGGAGCAGCGTTCCATGGAGTCCGAATGCGCAAAACCATTTTTCACCAATCACTGACTCGTGGCCATTCCTCACCCCTTCCCCCCTTCTCTCCTTCCCCCCGCCTCTCCATTCCCTCCTCTCCTCTCCCCCTATTGGGGACAGAACCGAGTTTACAGAGGCGCAATTTAAATCAAATGTGTGGCAGGATGGAAACGTGACGAGAAGAACAAAATCAACCTGCTCTTTCTGAGCCCCTGTGGTGGTTGGAGCAATTAACTAACTACATGAACGAATGGCTACTTGTGGGTAATAATTGCGGAGCACCACTGAGAAAAACCAACAAATGTTTCTGCTTTGATGGATTTGTGAGCATCAAGTGTGCATAAGGCGCCAATGGACTGTTTCGCCTTAAACATTGTGTTTGAGTCTCTATGTTGGGAGATTCCTGCCAATGGTGCGATGCCAGCAAGCGTGTGCTTCACTACGCCGTGCTCGGAATCCCATCACTACCTTGGTGCCAGGGCACTCCGTCTACGCCGACACTGCCTGACAACAACAACCCAACTTCCATGCTAAAATCGACTACATGGTGCACCACATTGGCAGTTGTAGGTTGATTGTCTCACTAACAAGCCTTATCGTCACAGTAAGACGTTGCCTCCTGTGGATAATTGCATCTGCAGACAGTCATGACGGAAAAGCAAACGGAGCCACATTAACCCCAGTGAGTACTCCAAGCTCAAGCTCAACATAATGCCCAACAGTAGAGCAAGACCAGAAGTAACACATTTTAAAGTGTCCTCAACTCACGCAGAGTGCGATACCCTCTTCCCCTTTCCCCATATCAACTGCTGCTCCCAAGGCGAGCGATTGCAACAGAGAATGCGTTCGTTGCAAACGATTGACCAGACGTAGGCAGCATTGGTGACACCAATCTCACTAGCCTGTTGGTAGTACTGACACTCTAGAAGCTCAACCAACCCTGCACCACGAATGATAATAAGGCGCATGACAGCCATTAACATGGAAGTGGATCACATAGACCGAAGCATTGACGCATTTGCTTGCATCGCAAGCCTACATTTCAGCCATTCCACAACCGCCTAATCGATGTCCAAATGAGTCAGTGCAGCAAATCCTGAAATCCGGGTGCTGGTGCGAAACACAAAGCAACTGACCTCAATCTGTTTGTTTAGCACACTGCCACCAGTCACGCGCATATTCGTGCGTGACATGGAATCGGCGCCCCGCCTCGTTCTCATGCCTCGATGGCGGCCTGATTGTTTATTGCAAGATATCACAGACGCCATCATCACATCCGATCATGC